AGAGTCTATCGCAACACAAACGGCAGTTCTGCGTTCTCCAAATATCACATTAGGGATCAATTTCCTTATTATTGCCGCAAAAATTTTAAAAAATATTGCTCCCTATACAGATATAGAAATTATTGAAGAACATTTCAAACTTAAACCCGAAGTGTCTGGAACGGCAAAGGTGATTGCCCAGAACTTAGAGATTGCTCCATCGCAAATCAAAACCATTAGAGCGGGAGGAATTATTGGTGTTCACGAAGTGTTATTTGGCTTTCCGCATCAAACTGTACGTTTAAAGCATGAGTCGATCAGTCGGGAAGCCTTTGGAACAGGAATTTTATTTGCGACTCAAAACATGCAAGGTAAACCCGCTGGGCTTTACTCGATGGAAGACTTGTTGCTGCCATTTTTTCAGTTGCAAGAATCAGAGGCCTCAATTCTTGAGCAAAAACGCAAGCCATGGTGGCAGTTTTGGAATAATTCAAGCGAAGTAAAAACGATGAATTAATTGGCACACATTATTCTATTATAGGTGTGATTACCCAGAATGGGTCTTTATGTCGCACCTTGCTGTTATATAGCACATTGATTAAATTTAAAAATGTTGTTTATTGAAGGTGATTGATCGGCTGCTTTAATGATGAAATCTCAGGGTGGATTTGAGCCTTTATAAGCTGATTTTTGCCTTTCCTTAACGGTCTTTAAAATACGTTTGAAATGAAAGGTTTAAATATCCTTATGAAATAAAACGATAATCATGGATTGACGGAAATTAAGTCTAATGATACCATCCATGCAATCATTTGATTATAAGTTGGGTGGGGTATGTTTAAATTTGAACACATTTTAATTGTAGTGCATGTATTGCTGTTAAGCCTTATGGCAATAGAAGTGTATCGTATTGTTTATCGCAAAAAACTACTCGATTTTCGAGCCTTAGCCTTGCCTTCCCTACAATCTTATGGTTTTACGGTCGTCATGGGAATGGTGCTGACGCTATTAGGTTTTGTTGTCTCGCTTACTGGTATGATTTATTTGGGGCATCGGTATAGACTGATGACTTGGGAATGGGGGGTAACTACGGTAGTATTAGGATTTGTGGCCTACGAATTGCTTTATTGGACGGGTCATTTTTTAGAGCACAAAGTAAGATTATTCTGGTGTTTGCATTCCACTCATCATAGTCCTGAACATATGGGCTTGCCTGTTGCCTTTCAGCACCATTTTCTCGAAAATCTAGCGTATGGGTCATTTTTTAATGGTTTTATGCCAGCTTTTTTGGGGTTTCCCGTTGAGTTAGTGATTGGCTTGATGGCCTTTGACAATATATGGGGCAGCTGCTTACATATGCATCCCTATGTCCATGAAAAATATTTTAAAAAAAATTATGGTCTATTAGAAAACCTCATGCAAACCCCCAATTGGCATTTGGTGCATCATTCACGTAACCCACAATATATTGACAAAAATTTTGCAGCCATCACGCAGTTTTGGGACTGGGTGTTTCAAACACAACAAAAAATCGATCCAAACAACCCACCAGAACTAGGAATCATGCGCAAAGTTGATACCGCCAACTTTAAGGATGTGCATTTCAAAGAGTTTATCATGTTATATCAAGATGTTATAAATGAGCCCAGCTGGATCAATAAGTTAAAATTGATCGTCATGCCACCTGGCTGGTATCCCACTGTCGCATCAAACATGCCTCTTAAGCGCAAAGCGTAGGTTCGAAACTACTTATTAGGCCAGATGAAAGATATTGTTTTACAGTTTATCTTGTTGATTGCCGACAGAAAACCCTTGCACATCTAGCGTGCTTGATGTACCTTTTGCAAAAGCAATCACCTTAAAGAGTTCTCCCATTTCGGCTTCTGAAATTAAGGTTAGAATACCTTGATGTAGGGCTTGTTGATGAGCAGCATCGTCTATTGTTATGGTGGCTAGGTGATCTAATAGCCCAGCATTTAACAAAAAACGAGCTTGTGTGACATAACCCATGCAACTTAAGCCTGCTAGATTTGCACTAGCACATAAGCTACTAAAGTTAACGTGCGCTGTGATGTCTTGTAAGCCTGGAGCAAAAAACACATCGCCATGGGCGATATGGCGATAATGACACATCAAGGTGCCTTGATGGCGATCTGGGATGTAGTACTGGCGATCATCAAAACCATAATCAATCAAGATGATTAAACCATCTTTTAGGCAATCACATAAACTTTGAATAAACGCATCGGCTTGCTGATGAATTTCAAGAATATAAGGGATGCCTGCTGGTAAAAAATCGGTGACTGCTTGAAAATACGGTGGTGGTTCAAAGTTGGCGATGGCGCGCCAAGCTAAAGTGTTGTGTGCATTAAGCCCAACACCAAGTTCAACCCATTGATTTTCATTGCTTTTGCGTTCAAAAAGGCGAATAGGCATGGCATCTAACACTTCGTTGCCTAACATAACACCGACAAAGTTTTCAGGCAGCTGATTTAACCAACCCACTTGATTGGCTAGGTGCGAAACGCGGTTTTGTATGGTTTGCCGCTGGCGTTCAATTAATTGGGCTGATAACTCAATGATTTGATATTGAATTTTTCCAACCGCCTCGTTTAGGATGGGTAATAATTGAGCCGCCAAAAGCCCTTCACCCGCACCAAATTCTAGAACGACTGGTCTTTGCCCTTGTTCGAGCAAGTGCTGGAGCGTTTGAATAATGGGTTGCGCCAAAGCGTGGGCAAATAAAGGGGAAATGGCTGGTGCTGTGACAAAATCGCCACCTTGTTTTGCGCTGCCAAATTTATTTTGCCAATTACGATAGTAACCGAGTTTGGGTTCATACAAAACAAGGTTCATATACTGGTCAAAACCGATCACACCCCCATGGTGGTTAATATCAGCTTTGATTTTATTAAGCAATTGATCACTTAAAATTTGTTCTTCTGGCAGAGGTGATGGTAAGGCGTGGGGGTGCTGATACATGGAAGATAAAATTTAATAAAATCAATAAGGTTGTCATGCTTGATGGCGTAGACTTAGCAAAGTGACTTCACCGACAATATCGGTGCTTCGTAGCGCAGGTCCCCAATAACCTGTTCCTCGATTGACATAAATCCAACTGTTATCAAATTTCTTTTTACAAAGCCCTCCAACATAAGGTTGGACAAAATGAACTAACCATGTCGCAGGGAAATATTGCCCTGCATGTGTGTGCCCAGAGAGTTGTAAATCAACGGGGTAGCGATGAATATCGGCTGTTTTGGGTTGGTGGGCTAAAAAAATGCGTGTGACCACATCGCTTGGAATGTTGGCAAAGGCCTGCGCGGGCTCGCAAGCAGCACTGGCATCAAATTGTTGCGCTTTATAGTCGTTCACACCAATCATCGCAAGAGGGTGGCTAGCACCGCTTTTTCCAGTCACATGGACGATTTCATGTCGGTTCTGTAATGTTTTCCAGTTGAGTTGTTGTTCGACAAAATTTAACCAGTCGGTTGCGCCTGAGTAATATTCGTGGTTGCCTGTAATAAACCACTGTCCGTATCGGCTTTGCAAGGGTTTGAGTGTTTGCGCCAGTTTGCCAAGTTGTTTGACCGTGCCATCAACCATATCCCCTGTGATGACGATAAAGTCTGGTTTTAGGTGATTGATTAAATTGACAATTTTTTCAAAATAATGGGGATCTAAAATTTGACCGATATGCAAATCTGAAATCTGCGCAATGGTTAAGCCATCTAAGTCAGAGGGTAAGTTTTTGAGGGGAATATCGACCTTAACTAAGGTTGGGTCACCAGCTGCTTTGTGAGCGGCATAGGTAAAAAATCCACCTGCCCAAGTGATGACACCTAAGTTAGCAATTTTTTTGAGATATTGTCGGCGTTCATGGTTGGATGTAAAATTTAGACCTTGTTTTTTCTTGAACTTTTGCCAAGCGACCATCAGCCCAATCATCAGATTACGGATCACCACACCAACAACGAGTAAGCTATATAAACCCATACCATAATTGAGTAGTGCAAAGCTCGGTAATTGGCTTTTGTTCATGATCAGACCACGCATGATAAAATGCGCAGGTACGCAAAGCGCAAGTGCAATGATGGCAGTCCAAGCAATCATCCGTATGAATTTTGGCCAATTTTTGTCAATGAGTGTGCGACCACACATCCATGTGAGCAAAGCCAAAAGAGGGAGCATGATGCCAAATAAAATCAATAAACGTGTCATAAATGTGCGCTAAAAATGTTGATCAATCCTCTAAACGTGATTGTCGCACAAATTAAAAACCTGATTGACTAAATTGACTTATCCAATATTTTATGAACTTAGCCCTATTTGACTTAGACCACACCCTCATTCCGATCGATAGTGACCAAAACTGGGGTCAGTTTTTGGTCAATGTCGGTGCGGTTGATAAAATTCAGTACGAAACGATCAACTTACAGTTCTATGAAGATTACAAAAAAGGTTGTTTAGACATCACTGCTTTTCTACGTTTTGCTTTAAAACCCCTTAAAGACCATACGCCTGAGCAATTAAAGGCTTGGCACGAACAATTTATGCAAACGATTATTTTGCCTAATGTTCGTCAAGAGGCACTTGAGTTGGTTTTAACCCATCAAAATAGGGGAGACTTGGTGGCGATGGTAACGGCGACCAATGCTTTTGTGACGCGTCCTATTGCCAATGTATTTAAGATTGAACACCTTATTGCAACAGAGCCTGAAATTGACCCCCAAACAGGTTTGTATACTGGAGAACCTAGCGGAGTACCAAGTTTTAGAGAAGGTAAAGTAACACGTGTCAATCAATGGCTAGCGCAACAAAATTTAAGTTTGGATTCCTTTGAAAAAAGTTATTTTTATAGTGATTCTCACAACGATTTACCCCTGTTAAAACAAGTTAATACGCCAATTTGTACAAACCCTGATAGAATTTTACGTGAGACAGCAATCCAATCTGGATGGACAATTTTAGAATTATTTTAACCTATTGAATTTGTGATTAAAAAATTGATTAAGCAAGGGTTGGCAAAAATCTTACCGAGCTCAAAAAAGACGGTAACTCAAGAAGTTGTGCCTGCCAAACCTACACACAAACGCGGCAAGCAGGCGAAGAAACATTTGCCTAGCAGGTTTGACGGCAAAGCGTTTGGTGTGACCAATCAAGGGTTTGACCCCAATGCGATTGAAGTAACAAAGGTTTTGCAACAAGCTGGATATGAGGCATATATTGTGGGCGGTGCAGTGCGCGACTTGCTGCTTGGGATTAAGCCTAAGGATTTTGATGTGGCAACCAGTGCTACGCCTGAGCAAGTGCGTGATTTGTTTAGACGTGCTCGTTTAATTGGCAGAAGGTTTCAGATTGTTCATGTCTATTTTGGACGCGATGTGATAGAAGTGACGACCTTTCGTGGTCAGTCAGATGATGCTGTCGTTTTAGCAAACCATCGAAAAACGCACCTTAAAAATGTTGCAGGTGATGCCGTCCAAGATGAAGGCGGCCGATTGTTGCGCGATAACGTGTGGGGAACGCTCGAAGAAGATGCCAATCGGCGCGATTTTACGATTAATGCTTTTTATTATGACCCCTCAAATGAGCAACTTATTGATTTACATGATGGAATATCAGATTTAAAAACAAAAAGCTTGCGTTTGATTGGTGATCCTGTTGTGCGTTACACCGAAGATCCCGTAAGGATGTTACGCGCAGTGCGATTGATGGCAAAAACTGCTTGCAAAATTGAAAAGGGTTGCTTGGAGAGTATTCCACAACTAGCTCCGCAGTTAGCACAAGTTTCCACAGCTCGATTGTTTGATGAATCACTCAAGTTATTATTGTCAGGACATGCTCTGGAAGGGGTTGATCATTTAGCAAAATTAGGTCTTTTGCCTTATTTGTTACCGATTTTGCAAGAAAACCCTAAAAAATCAATTGCTTTTGAGCTTTATAAAAAATCGTTTATTACCCATATCCTGCAAGCGACCGATCAACGTCTACAAGCTGATTTATCCGTTTCCCCAGGGTTTTTGTTGGCAGGGCTACTGTGGCCTAGTTTGTGTGAAAAAAATCTCTATTGGTTAAAACAAGGTGAAGCACCCTTGTCGGCATTACAAATAGCCATACAAGATGTGATTTCAGAGCAGCAACATCATTTACCCATTCCTGCTCGTTTATTAGGGACGATGCGTGAAATATGGTTATTGCAACCACGTCTTGAAAAAAGGACGGTTAAAACGGTTCATCGGGTGGTTGAATCACCTCGTTATCGAGCAGCGTATGATTTTTTGTGGATTCGTGCCGATGTCAGTCGTGCGTTAAATCATGACAATATCGACCCAATTAACCCTTCCTTGCCAGAATGGTGGGATGATTTTGCAAATGGGGACGATCAGAAACGGATGGATCTGATCGATAGCCTAAAAAACTCAGGTCAGATGGTCAGTGCTCCTAAAAAACGTCGTAGGCGTCGCCCCAAACCTATGCAACAGAATGACGCCTCGGGGTCGTCTGAAAGTGGTGAACCATCTTGATGGTTGATGAGATGGAATAATATGGCTACAGCTTTCTTGTCATTAGGTGCAAACTTAGGTAATTGTGCCCAGACAATTCAAGATGCTTGTGTATGTTTTGCGCAACATCCTGCTATAGATATCGAAGAACAATCTTCCTTTTATATCAGTGAGCCACTTTTTGCCTTAGGGCCTGCTTACATCAATAATGTTATCAAGGTAAACACAGAACTGACACCTCATCAATTGTTAAAGTTCTGCCAACAAATCGAAACACAGTTTGGTCGTGAGCGTCCCTATATTAATGCGCCACGAACCTTAGATATTGATATTATTTTATATGATGATTTGCGGGTTAATGATATTGATTTGTGTATACCTCACCCTCGGATGACAGAACGTGCATTTGTATTGCTTCCTTTGCTCGAAATTGCACCATGTGTCGTTTTGCCTTCTGGTTTGAAAGTGAGCGATTGCTTACCTGGGGTTGCGACGCAAAATATTCGCAAAGAAACCGCTGACTAAATTGATGATGATCAATATCGTTTTTTGCAGGTCTGATTGTTCACTTTGTTGAAAGATTGATGATTTTGTTTGCAAGTATTTCATTAAATTAAGTTTTTACCTTTGTTTTTGCATGGGGCAGTCGTTAAGAATATGTCATGTGGTATTTGGGTACAAAAATAATCTATTGAATGTATTAAATATTTAACCAATACGAAAGCGATAGTCATGAGTTATTTACAAAACAGCCGTACGAAAGTGACGGTATCAACGTTGCAAAAGATGCGAGATACGGATGAAAAAATTGCCATGCTAACTTGTTATGACGCCAGTTTTGCGCAGCAAATGGATATGGCCAGTGTTGATATTTTGTTGGTTGGCGATTCGTTGGGTAATGTGGTACAGGGACAACAATCAACATTGCCTGTTAGTCTGGTTGATATGTTGTATCACACGCGTTGTGTCGCAAGAGGGTCACAAAATTGTTTTATTATGGCCGATATGCCTTTTGGTACATACCCCACAAAAGAAGAAGCCTACCATAACGCCTTGCTTTTGATGCAAGCGGGCGCTCACATGGTTAAAATGGAAGGGGGTAGTTGGTTGTTAGAAACAGTAGATTTTTTACAGAAACGTGCTATACCTGTCTGTGCTCATCTTGGTTTGATGCCACAGTCAGTCAATGTTTTAGGTGGCTTTAAGGTTCAAGGAAAAACAGACGCTCAAGCGCAAAAACTCCTCGAAGAAACCAAACTCATGGAAGAGGCAGGAGCACAAATTATTCTTTTTGAAGCCATTCCAGCAAGTCTTGCAAAACAAGCCACAGAAAGTGTGCGAGTGCCCACTATCGGTATTGGTGCAGGAGTAGATTGTTCAGGTCAGGTCTTAGTGACTTACGATATGCTTGATATAAGTGTTGGAAAAAAACCAAAATTCGTAAAAAACTTTTTGGAGGATTCTTCTAATATTCAAGAAGCCATAAAGAGGTATGTTGACGCTGTAAAACAAAGGGTATTCCCTGATGACAAGCATTTATACAACTAGTGGTAATACGAATGTGTTGACATAAATAAGTGTTAAAGAATGTGAACTAACGTAAAAACACCGTTTTGCTAGTGGTAATTTTGTTGCGCTTGTAATAGAATGGGCGTTGTAATTGAGCGGTCAGCTCAACTTGAGTCGTCGATATTGGTAAAAACCCTAATTCAAAAGGCTTTGCAGAGCTTTAAGCATTGGAACTAATAGCGTAGATGTAAGTGTTTAACTGTGGATACATGTTCTGTTGTTCGATTGATGTTTGGGTCATGGACATAAGAACGAAGATATTAATTTTGGGTTGACAAATATCGGTCAACCGAAAGCAGTTCTTGTCAGAAGGAGAAAAAAGTGAAGCAAGGAATGAATACGAGCCCGATGAGTGAGGTTGCTCGGGGTTTGTTAACAGGCCGTAGGGGTCTGAAGCTGGCAACAGCTGGGGCGGCATTAAGCGTATTTGCTTTGAGTGCGCCAAGTATTGTATTGGCGGACAGTTCAGTGATTGTTCGTGCGGACTACAATGCGGAATGTCGTACGATTGACGAGGGTGCTGGTGTAGTAGGTGAGATTTTAGAAGGGGTACCGATTGTGAATATGTCGCAATCGTACGCATTAAAACTTCAAGCGCAAATTAGCGAAGGCTGTCGGATACCAGACGAGGTGTGGACTAATAAGAATCAACCGATGGGCGGAACGTACCGCGGTCGTGATGTTGTTTCATACGGTGGTCGTTTGGCGGCAACGGGTGCGATATTTGCGAACAGTGGTATGTATGTGACCAACACGCAGTGGGTAGCCAATCCTGGAGCTGATCACGGGTCGGATATCCAAGGTTTTACGATTCCTGTGGTGGGTGCGCAGTTGTGGAGTGGTATGGTCAACTATACGCGTGACCTATACATGCCAGGCAGCAATTTAGGGAATCCGCAGCAGTTTAATGAGGTTGCGGGATCGACGATGATCGAGATGAACGGCAATAAGGTTCGTAATGTTCATGAGATTGGTTTTAAGAATGAAGGTGTTGTTTCTGGTGTGTTGACACAAAACGGCACAGTAACGACCCATAATTTTTTCCGCACGTTAAACATCACTGACAATACACAGATGGTGACGGGCAAGGATTTGGAATGGATATCTGCAGCGTTGCGTGCGGTTGATGGTAAGTCTCGGCTAACAACATTTACAGAGTTGTCAGATCGTATTAACGGATTGTCAGATGGGATGTTATCAGGTGGTTTTGCAGCGAATGTTGCGTTATTGCCACTAATTTCTGGTCAATTATCAAGTGTTTCAGCTGCGTTGTTGGCAAAGCCAAATCAGTTTACTCCATCGATTTCGAATGCGTTGCAGTCACAGTTGCAAGCATTACGTAATGCGAACCCGTATGGTTGCGTAGGTAGTGTTTCCACGATGTGTGATTTGTTAGTGAAAGCAAATGGACAAGTTAATTTATTAAGCGATGCTGTAAGAGGTTTGTCGTCAGTATTGTTAACGAGTGGCGGTAGCTTAGCGTTGATACCTGCGATGTCTAGCCAGTTGTCATCGATTGGTGGCAATGTGAATACGGTTTCATCGATTGTAGCAACGATGCAGGCGGGATCTGGGGCGGCGAGTTTGTTGGCGATTTCTAGCGTTGTAGCCAAGGCATCGACAGCACTTGGTACAACAATTCCATTGACGACGACATTGTTGGGTATTGCCAATGGTATAGATGCGCAGGTCAAGAACTCACAAGTGATTGTGAACAATTTAACGACGAGCTTTAACTCTGTATCTGGTGCGATTGTGACGTTAAATACGCGTTATTTGACGGTCAGTAGTCAGGTGGCTGCAGGTGGTGGTAGTGGCGGTGGTTCAAGTTCTAACCCGTTGATTAATTTGCAAGGTACGGGCTCTGCTCCGATTGTGGATGGATCGGCGACGGGCGGCTTGGCGATTGGTTGGGGCGCACGAGTAGGTGCTGGTCATACCAATTCGGTAGCCATTGGATATAATTCATCGACCAGCGGTCCAAATGAATTTTCGATTGGTTCGGCGACAAACTTACGCCGATTGACAAATGTAGCAGATGGTGTCAATGCGAATGATGTTGTGAACAAAGGTCAGGTTGACGCAGCATTTGCCAATGCTGGCGGTTCAGTTGACATTCATAAGTATGAGAAGCGTGCAGCGGCAAGTGCTTCGATGGCAGGTGCATTAGCGAATATGCCATCAGTAGACTTGACGCGTCAATTTGGTGTGAGTGCGGGTGCGGCAGGTTATGGCGGTGAGACGGCATGGTCGGTAGGTGCATCGACACGGATTCAAGACCACTTTGTGTTTAAGGCGGGTTACTCGCGGTCAAATGGCCAGGCGATGTATAACGCTGGCGGCAATATCATGTGGTAAGCCAAATTAATCAATCGAATATCAGAATTTAATAGGAGAATTTCCGTGAAAAACTTAAACGTAAGTCGTATTTCAAAAAGTATCAGCAGCACCTTTGGCAAAACTGGTTTGGCTGCAGTAGCATTGGGCTTAGGAGCTATGGCAGCAACTGCACCTCAGCAAGCTTATGCGCAAACCACCTTTTATACGTTCCCATTGCGTATCAATGAAGAGCTCGATAATACAGAATGTACCAGTATTGGTGAAGGCATCGGCGTAGCAGGTGATTTTCTTATGTTGGGCTATGTGCCAACACCATTGCAAGCTGCGCAAGCATTGAACTCGTATATGACACTGTTTGCTAGTGGTTCAGCGTGTTCAACATCAAGAAACGGTCCATCGATGACGCAATACGATAGTGACTTATTGATTGCGGCTGGCAATATGTTGGTCGGTGGCGCATTGTTTGCCAACGGTGGTACATTCGTTAATAAAGAGTTTGTGATGACAAACTCAGGTATGTTTGTCCACTTTGGTAATAATAAAGTTAAGGGCGTGGACTCTGCTACGATCTCACCTCTACCACAAAAGGTGTATAGTGATAGCGGTAAAATATCTGGTTATGAAGCGATTAATGGTTCGGATTTAGCTGTGCTTTCCTCAGCAATCATAGCTGCATCACCTTCTAATAATGCTGTTTTATTTAGTAGTTTATCAAGCCGTTTGATTCTCGTTTCAGATAACTTGGCTGGTATTCAGTTCAACCCTGCTGCTATCAGTAGCAACTTGGCATCTGTTTCAGACATGGCAGCAAACTTTGCAACTCAAAGTTTTACAGCTGCTCAATCAGGTAATTTGTCAGGTCAAATTTCTACTATTTCAGCACAAATTGCAGCGGGTGCAGTGGGTGATTGTAATGCTTGTTCGTACATTAGTAGCGTTTTAGAACCAAATCGTGTGCGTGTTTCTAACCAATTGGCAGCATTATCTGGTCAAGTTGGTAACGTTACAGCCGTTTCATCGTATTTATCTATGGTTCAAGGTATTGATAGCCGTGTATCGAGTGCATTAAATGTCATTTTAGCGGGCGGCTCAAATGGTACAGTCGACCCGAACTTGTATGCATCTGTATCAAACATGATGACAAGTGTTGCCAATAGCTTAAATAGCAATATTACTACAACAACTTCTGTTTCAAATATCGTATCGGCTTGGGGGTCTGTGCAAGGTGTTACGAATTTAACGAACAATATTAACGCGTCAAGCTCGTCTTTGACACAAATTAATATCAATATTGATCGTTTACTGCAAGTTGCAGGTAATGGCGGTGGTATTGCTGGACAACCTGGTGTTTCAGGCGGTGGCGGTACTAATGGTAGCGCACCTGCACAATCTAATGGACAAAACTCTTTGGCAATTGGTTACGGTTCACAAGCAAATGGTACTAACTCTGTTGCTATTGGTTATAACTCGACTGCAAAAGACGCTAATGAGTTTTCAGTTGGTGGAAATGGTATCTTACGTCGTATCACTAACGTAGCAAATCCTATTGCGAACAATGATGCAGCGACCAAAGCCTATATTGACCAAAAAGTTGCTAATGCAGGAGGCACAGG